GGCACCACCGTCTTGGCCACCCCTCCTTGCCCCGTCTTCGGAGCATGGCTTCCCGTGTCCTTGTCTCTGGTCTTCCCCGGTCTCTCCCTCCTCTCCCCTCCGGGCCAGGACCTTCCTGTGTCCCCTGTGTCGAGGGTCGCCTCCGGGCTACTCCTCACTCCTCCCACTTCCCCCCGACAGAGGCTCCCCTGCAGACGCTTCACATGGATGTGTGGGGCCCAGCCCCCGTCCGTGGGCAGGGTTACGAGCGCTACTTCCTGTTGGTGGTTGACGACTACTCGCGTTACACCACAGTCCTCCCCTTGCGCAGCAAGGGTGCGGTCACTGAGGTGCTGATCGACTGGATCCGCGAGGCTCGTCTCCAGCTCAGGAAGAGCTTCGGCTCGGACTTTCCTGTTCTGCGTCTGCACTCTGACAGAGGCGGAGAGTTCTCTTCTCGCCTTCTGCGGGACTACTGTCGTGCACGGGGGATCCGCCAGACCTTCACGCTTCCGGACTCACCACAGCAAAATGGGATTGCTGAGCGCCGCATTGGCATGGTCATGGATGTCGCTCGTACGTCCATGATGCATGCGGCTGCCCCCCATTTTCTGTGGCCGTTTGCGGTGAGGTACGCGGCGCATCAGCTCAACCTTCACCCCCGGGTCTCTCGGCCTGCGATGTCTCCAGCCTTGCTGTGGTCGGGGAAGGTTGGCGATGCGTCTGTGTTCCGTGTCTGGGGATCTCGGGCGTTTGTCCGCGACTTGTCTGCGGACAAGCTGTCCCCTCGTGCTGCTCCCTGTGTCTTCCTTGGCTTCCCCACTGACGCCCCAGGGTGGCAGTTTTACCACCCCTCCTCTCGTTGTGTTCTGTCCTCCCAGGACGTCACGTTCGATGAGTCAGTCCCCTTCTACCGTCTCTTCCCCTACCGCACTCCTTCCCTCCCCCCTCCCCCGGACTTCCTTGTGCCGGTTCCCCCCCCGGTAGACCCCCTTCCCCCTCAGGTTCCTGCCCCCTCAGGTGTGTCCCAGGTAGACGCCGTTGACCCGGTCGAGGTTACTGGTGACTCTGGTGCTGCTGCGGGTGCTGAGCCTGGGGGTGCTGACTCTGGGGGTGCTGTGCGCGGGGGTGCTGAGCCTGGGGGTGCTACTGCTGGGGGTGCTGGACCTGAGGGTGCTACTGCGGAGGGTGCGGAGCCTGGGGGTGCTGAGACGGGGGATGCTGTGCCTGGAGGTGCTGGGTCTGGGGGTGCTGGGTCGGGAGCTGCTGAGCCTGGGGGTGCTGTGCTGGGAGCTGCTGAGCCTGGGGGTGCTGCGTCTGGAGCTGCTGAGCCTGGGGTTTCTCCTGCTGCTGCGTCTCGCCGGGAGCCCCTCTCTCCACAGGAGCTGCGCGAGTGGTTCGCTCGCCGCTGGAGGCGTGCTGCTGCGTCTGGAGGTGCTGCTGGAGCTGGAGCTGGAGCTTCTTCGACCGTCGAGGGTGCGGGTGCTGCTGGTCCCGGAGCTGCTGGACCTACGGGTCCTCCTGGAGCTGGAGCTGCTGAGGGCGTTGGTGCTGAGCCTACTGCTGTTGATCCTGCCGCTGGAGGTGTGGGTGGCGCTGGTGCTGTCGCTGAGGGTGCTGGTGCTGTCCCTGCTGAGTCTGGAGCTGCCGCGCGGCCTCGGCCGTACTTCGTTCCACTCCTGCAGCAGGTTCTTGGTCTTTCTCCTCTAGTAGAGGGTCCACCGCCTGTCCAGTCGCAGTCCCTGCTGGAGCCTTCCTCTCCACTGCCTGCTCCCTCTCCTTACACTGGTCCTACTGGAGGTCTTGCTGAGCGTCGTGAGCCTGCGTCTCGTCCCGCGTCGCCTGTTCGTGCTGCTCGCGCTAGTGGTCGCAGTTCGCGTCAGCGTCCTCCTCCTGTCCCTGGCACGCACCGGATGTCTTTGCGTCCGTCCACTGCTCCTCTGCGTGCCCCTTTGCCTTCTCCTCCTGAGTCCTCTCTTCCTGTGCTTGCCGACCCTGAGTCGGACTCTCTTCGTGCTGCCAGTCCTACTGTCACGCGTCTCCTTGCTACTGTCGTCACTGACCCCTCGTTTGAGTCCACTGCTGCGTCTGCCCTTGTCGCTGAGCTCGTCGACTTTGCTGCTCGCTGTCGTCTCGACTACGCTGCTAGTCTTGTTGCTGAGTCTGCGTCTGTCTCTCCTCCGTCCGTCGGGGGTGAGTGTGCTCTTGGCACGGACGTCCTAGAGGACAGGCAGGAGGAGTTACAGTGTCTAGCGGCTGCTTCACCTCATCTCGCGTCTGTACTGCTTGCCCCTGAGGGAGACCCGGATGCACTAGACATCCCGACTCCGCGTTCTTACGCGGAGGCCGTAGAGGGTCCCTACTCCTCTCAGTGGCAGGCAGCTATGGATGCAGAGATGGCTTCCTGGAAGTCCACAGGCACCTACGTTGACGCGGTTCCCCCTCCTGGGGCGAACATCGTCAGTGGCATGTGGATCTTCAGGGTGAAGCGGCCACCGGGCTCTCCACCTGTCTTCAAGGCACGGTACGTTGCTCGTGGCTTCAGTCAGCGGCAGGGAGTTGACTACTTTCAGACCTTCTCTCCCACACCGAAGATGACTACTCTTCGGGTTCTGCTGCACATAGCCGCTCAGCGCGACTACGAGCTTCACTCTCTCGACTTCAGCACTGCGTTCTTGCAGGGTAGCCTGCACGAGGAGATCTGGCTTCGCCGTCCACCTGGCTTCACTGGGACTTTCCCTCCTGGCACCCAGTGGAGCCTCCGACGGCCAGTCTACGGTCTCCGCCAGGCACCGCGTGAGTGGCACGACACACTGAGGACTACGCTTGCGGCTCTTGGGTTTGCTCCTTCTACTGCTGACCCGTCGATGTTTCTTCGCACCGACACTTCCCTGCCGCCGTTCTACATCCTCGTGTACGTCGACGACTTGGTCTTTGCCACAGCGGACACTGCTGGACTCGCCTACGTGAAGTCCGAGCTGCTGAAGAGACACACGTGCACAGACCTGGGTGAACTGCGCAGCTACCTTGGCTTGCAGATCACTCGGGACAGAGCACGCCGCACCATTACCTTGACTCAGTCACACATGGTGCAGCAGGTCCTTCAGCGCTTCGGCTTCACGTACTCCTCGCCTCAGGCCACTCCTCTGCCTACTCGCCACTCACTCTCAGCTCTGCCTTCGGATGAGTCCGTAGAGTCGAGTGGTCCGTATGCAGAGCTTGTTGGCTGCCTCATGTACCTGATGACCTGCACACGACCTGACCTTGCATACCCTTTGAGCATTCTTGCACGCTATGTTGCTCATGGGAGACACAGACCGGAGCACATGGCTGCAGCGAAGAGGGTATTGCGCTACCTGTGCAGTACGTCGGGCATGGGGCTAGTGCTTGGAGGGCGGAGTCCAGTGGTCCTTACCGGCCACGCGGACGCTTCTTGGGCTGACGACCAGGCTACGCAGCGGTCGTCACAGGGTTACACCTTCAGCCTTGGTTCCGGCTCTGTCTCGTGGCGGTCTACTCGCTCGTCTTCGGTTCTCGGCTCCAGTTGTGAGGCTGAGATCTACGCCGGGGCCATGGCTGCACAGGAGCTTTGCTGGCTCACCTACCTGCTGACTGACCTTGGAGAGCCGCCTCGTTCTCCTCCAGTGCTGTTCGTAGACAACAAGGCCATGCTGGCCTTGTGTCGAGAGCAGCGTTTGGAGCACAGAACGAAGCACATTGCTCTCCGCTACTTCCTTGCTCGTGAGCTGCAGCAGCGTGGTCAGTTGCGACTTGCGTACGTGGCCTCTGAGGCCAACACTGCTGATGTGTTCACCAAGGCACTCGCGCCTTGTGACCATCAGCGCTTTTGCACCCAGCTGGGTCTTGTGCCTGTCTTGCCTCACTTGCTCTCCTCTTGACTTCACTTGTACTGTGACATATATATATGCCTGCTCTTGCTTGTCTAGTTTTATATATATGTCTGTACTCCTGCATGTGAACTGGCCTCTGGCCCTACTCTTGTGCTCGGACTGAGTGGTGACTTTGTGATCCACCCTGAGCTTGCTTTGCTTTGCTTGACTGGTCTTGTGACCCCTTGTTCTCCCCCACTTTGCCTATGGGGGTGTGTCAGATTTATATGACATAGTTGCTGTAGGCTATAGTGGGGTAGCACATATGGGGTACAGGGTTCCTAGGGTTGTATTTGTACCCAATCTTTCCTTAGTCATTTCATTCCTGTTTTCTTTTCTCCACACGCATCACCCTCGCAGATGTTAGGAAAAAATTGAGAAATTTTCGAGTTTCCCGAATCGCGTTTCCGAGGGTCTGGTCGGGTTGGGTCTGGTCGACCAGGTCGACCCGACCAGACCCAATTCGTGTGGGTCGCAACACGTCGTAAATCTTCTGCACTTCGCCGGTCTAAGTAACGCCACTGGCGCCTCGAGGGACTGAAACGCCGCAAACCAGCCGGAACCCGCCTTTTTCAGACTGTTTTCAAAGAGACTTCCGAGGTCTGTTGTGGGCAGCCCTCGTAGATTCGAATGCTGAACCTGATACGCGAAATAGCATAATCACGAATGCTGTCTTGCGGCTCGTGGGGGTGTTTTGCGTGAGATTGATTTCAAGAAACACATTTCGTTCATCAGCCCTATCATGTGATTCACCGCACAACCAGATTCGTGGGGTGGGGACCACAACTGACACATGAATTGCAGTTGTGGTCCCCACCATGTCAATCCCTCTTTGAGAGTATCGGGATGAGTGGAATTACGGGCAGGATGAACGCTACAACTAGATTGTCGCTGCTCGGTTTGAACAGACGTGGGGAAACTGTGTGGTTAACTAAAAACTGAAACACCAAGTGTTATGAAGTTTAAAAGGAGGAGACTTCAAAAAAATGCTCGCCAAAAGTTTATCCAACTCAAAAGGGATCTGACATTGTTTTATCGTCTGCCGCCTCTTGCCGCTAGGGTTTGCTCAAGCAGACTACCATGGTGGATTCCTAATCCATGGTATCCTTCGATCGATGTGAAACAACCGCCATGGGTAGGTTCGGGGCCACCTTTTTTAAGATCCGCGCGCCAGAATAGGTTAGGATCTTTGAGCCACCGCCGTTTTAGCGCAAACCTGGATAATCTGGGTCCACTTCATCCTCAAAGTTGAGAAAAGCACAAGAAATTACGTGACTGACAAAGCATCTCGGCCGTCGGTCGATTCTCTTCGTCATCTCAACGCGCAAAATGAAATGTTTCCACTAGGTTCGGATCCACCACCAGTTTGTCCAAACCTAGACCCCACTCTTTCTCAAGCCAATTGTTCAAACACTTGGTCATTTTGGGGTACCATATTGCTAGCCACACTTGGTCATTGTGAGCTTAGAAACCTACGATTCCGGTGTCTACTCAGTGCTACGAACGTCCAACCTCCTTCAACTGCTCCTTCTCGTGGATGGCCGCGGACGTGGATCAGAAAGGTGGCCGCGGACGTGGCGTAAAGGTGCTAGCCGTTGACAACGGTGGATCTGCTCTGGATCTCACCATCAACCATGAATTGGGAAGTTTCCTTTCGTTTTTAAGGTTCCTAATGTTTTTTTTCCGCTTAATGCTGTTTTTTTTTCTCACATCCGCATGTCATTCATGCATCACAATCCATCATCCCTCTGATTTGATTATCGCCGCAGCGGACAGATGTATCCTCCTCGGTTTGGGTAGAGTAAGCATGGGTTTGGGTAGCAATAGTCTCCGACCCTCTGCGAGCTGTGGCATAAAAAAAATTGTGCAGTCAAGGGGATGGTGAAAGATGGTGCAGTCAAGGGGATGGTGAAAGATGGTGCAGTCAAGGGGATGGTGAGAGATGGTGCAGTCAAGGGGATGGTGAAAGATGGTGCAGTCAAGGGGATGGTGAAAGATGGTGCAGTCAAGGGGATGGTGAAAGATGGTGCAGTCAAGGGGATGGTGAAAGATGGTGCAGTCAAGGGGATGGTGAAAGATGGTGCAGTCAAGGGGATGGTGAAAGATGGTGCAGTCAAGGGGATGGTGAAAGATGGTGCAGTCAAGGGGATGGTGAAAGATGGTGCAGTCAAGGGGATGGTGAAAGATGGTGCAGTCAAGGGGATGGTGAAAGATGGTGCAGTCAAGGGGATGGTGAAAGATGGTGCAGTCAAGAGGATGGTGAAAGATGGTGCAGTCAAGGGGATGGTGAAAGATGGTGCAGTCAAGGGGATGGTGAAAGATGGTGCAGTCAAGGGGATGGTGAAAGATGGTGCAGTCAAGGGGATGGTGAAAGATGGTGCAGTCAAGGGGATGGGGAAAGATGGTGCAGTCAAGGGGATGGTGAAAGATGGTGCAGTCAAGGGGATGGTGAAAGATGGTGCAGTCAAGGGGATGGGGAAAGATGGTGCAGTCAAGGGGATGGTGAAAGATGGTGCACTCAAGGGGATGGTGAAAGATGGTGCAGTCAAGGGGATGGTGAAAGATGGTGCAGTCAAGGGGATGGTGAAAGATGGTGCAGTCAAGGGGATGGTGAAAGATGGTGCAGTCAAGAGGATGGTGAAAGATGGTGCAGTCAAGGGGATGGTGAAAGATGGTGCAGACAAGGGGATGGTGAAAGATGGTGCAGTCAAGGGGATGGTGAAAGATGGTGCAGTCAAGGGGATGGTGAAAGTTGGTGCAGTCAAGGGGATGGGGAAAGATGGTGCAGTCAAGGGGATGGTGAAAGATGGTGCAGTCAAGGGGATGGTGAAAGATGGTGCAGTCAAGGGGATGGTCAAAGATGGTGCAGTCAGGGGGATGGTGAAAGATGGTGCAGTCAAGGGGATGGTGAAAGATGGTGCAGTCAAGGAGATGGTGAAAGATGGTGCAGTCAAGGGGATGGTGAAAGATGGTGCAGTCAAGGGGATGGTGAAAGATGGTGCAGTCAAGGGGGTGCAGTACTAAACCCGGCTGAACTTGCAGCTATAGCGAACGTGCAGTCTAGGGGTGATGGCTGGACTTGCAGAGCAGTGCTATTCTTCTAGGGGTGATGGCTGAACTTGCAGGGAATTTCTTCTAGGGGTGATGGCTGGACTTGCACCCATTTTCTTCTAGGGGTGATGGCTGGACTTGCACCCAATTTCTTCTAGGGGTGATGGCTGGACTTGCACCCAATTTCTTCTAGGGGTGATGGCTGGACTTGCACCCAATTTCTTCTAGGGTTAATGGCTGAACTTGCAGTGAAGTGCTACCGGTATTCTTCTAAGGGTAATGGCTGAACTTGCAGTGCACTGCTATTCTTCTAGGGGTGACGGCTGGCCTTGCAGTGAATCTCTGATAGGGTAATGGCTTCCATTGAATTTCTTATAGGGGGAAGCCCATGTGCAGTGAGCTATGTTCTAGGGGGCACACACATGTGCAGTGAGCTTTGTTCTAGGGGGCACACACATGTGCAGTGAGCTTTGTTCTAGGGGGCACACACATGTGCAGTGAGCTTTGTTCTAGGGGGCACACACATGTGCAGTGAGCTTTGTTCTAGGGGGCACACACATGTGCAGTGAGCTTTGTTCTAGGGGGCACACACATGTGCAGTGAGCTTTGTTCTAAGGGGCACACACATGTGCAGTGAGCTTTGTTCTAGGGGGCACACACATGTGCAGTGAGCTTTGTTCTAAGGGGCACACACATGTGCAGTGAGCTTTGTTCTAGGGGGCACACACATGTGCAGTGAGCTTTGTTCTAGGGGGCACACACATGTGCAGTGAGCTTTGTTCTAGGGGGCACACACATGTGCAGTGAGCTTTGTTCTAAGGGGCACACACATGTGCAGTGAGCTTTGTTCTAGGGGGCACACACATGTGCAGTGAGCTTTGTTCTAGGGGGCACACACATGTGCAGTGAGCTTTGTTCTAGGGGGCACACACATGTGCAGTGAGCTTTGTTCTAGGGGGCACACACATGTGCAGTGAGCTTTGTTCTAAGGGGCACACACATGTGCAGTGAGCTTTGTTCTATGGGGCACACACATGTGCAGTGAGCTTTGTTCTAGGGGGGCACACACTTTCTCTCAGCCAAACTAGGGAAAGCGTGATCATATTACCCACTAGAGCAAAGCAACGTCGCAGCTACAGCTTCTTGTAACCATTTCCAGCCACAGGAGCTACAACCTACTGTAGCTCAGCTCTTGTTCTTTCGCAGCCTTGTTCACGCCCGTCTTCGCCCGCTGCTCCATGCACCTGTGCTTCCCCTTCACCCGTCTGCTCCATCCACAAGGCTGCCTCTGTCCTCATGGCTCGTCTCTGCCTCTCGATCCCCTCCTGATGCCTGACTTTTGAGTCGACTCAAAAGTCACCTCTGATGCCTGATCGCCTGATTCCTGGCAAGACGTTTCCGCCTGTGCCTCCTTGCTCAGCCTGCCATGTGACAGAAAAGAGGTGCGGGAGTGAGTGAGTGAGGCGGTGAGAGAATGCTGTAACTCATGCCACCTTTCATGCTGTAACTCATGCCACCATGCATGCTGTAACTCATGCCACCATGCATGCTGTAACTCATGCCAACATGCATGCTGTAACTCATGCCGGCGTGCATGCTGTAACTCATGCCAACATGCATGCTGTAACTCATACCAACATGCACGCAGCAGGCTGGTACTTACTGAAGAGTTGCCCGAGGGTTGGAAAAAGGGGGAAAGCGGTGATGACAGAATGGGGGAATGGGGGAATGGGGGAAAGCGGTGATTGCAGAATGGGGGAATGGGGGAAAGCGGTGATGGCAGAATGGGGGAATGGGGGAATGGGGGAATGGGGGAATGGGGAAATGGGGAAATGGGGAAAAGAGGTGATGCCCGAATGGGAAAATGGGGGAATGGGGAAATGGGGGAATGGAGGAATGGGGGAATGGGGAAATGGGGAAATGGGGGGATGGGGAAAAGCGGTGATGCCAGAATGGGGAATGGGTTGATGCCCGAATGAAGGCAGAACCATAAGGTTGAAGCACAGAGAAAAGGCTCGGCAAGACCACCAGGGATTGGAGACGGGAAAGGAGAGGGAGAAGGAGAGGGAGAAATGGTGACCAGGGCTGGTGACTGGCGACAGCAGAGGCAGGCTTTGTCACGAAGCACGGGACTCACCGAAAGCAACCCCGCCTTCATCACATGGGCTGGATAACCATGGTGACCGAACCACATGGGCAGGATAACCATACTCACACAGACATAGAAGCTGACTGATGCTGATGCTGATGCTGATGCTGCTGATGCTGATGCTGCTGATGCTGATGCTGATGCTGTGATGCTGATGCTGATGCTGCTGATGCTGATGCTGATGCTGTGATGCTGATGCTGCTGATGCTGATACTGATGCTGATGCTGATGCTGATGCTTTGATGCTGATGCTGATGCTGATGCTGATGCAGACGCTGATGCTGAGAGCAGTTCAGGAGACACAGCATCCCCCTCCTCCCCTGCTGCGGTTGATTCTCCTGTAGCGGAGGTAGTGTTCTCTTCCCCAAGCCAGCTTTCACCAGCAGCAGCGGCGGCAGCGGCGGCGGCGAAGGGAGCAGCAGAAGCAGGGCGAAGAGGGGGCGAAGCAGCAGCAGCAGCAGCGGGAGCAGCAGAGAGATGCTGCTGCAGCAGAGAGATGCTGCTGCAGCAGAGAGATGCTGCTGCAGCATGCTCACACGAGCCTGGATAACGGGTAGGGAGTGGGTTGAGGGTGGAAGTGGGGGTGGGGGGTGGGGGTGCGGGTGCGGGTGCGGGTGCGGGTGGGGGAGGGGGTGTGGGTGGGGGTGGGGTGGGTGGCAGGGATGAATATGGACGCATGGAGAGTGGCAACGACAGCAGGGATGGTGGTAGAAAGCCGCTGCTCCAGCATGCTCACATGCTCACATGCTCACATGCTCACACTCTCATGGGCCTGGTGTGGTTGCAGGGGTGAGAGCAGGAGTGGTGGCGAGGGTGAGATAGGGACGGGTGGTGGGAGGGCAGAGAAGGAGAGCGATTTGATATGGACGGGACAGCAGGGGAGTAGGGCGAAGGGAGGAGGGCAAAAGGGAAAACAGGGGAGGAGGAAGGGGAAGGGGAAAGGAAAAAGGATGAAGAGGAAAGAGGTCTTGAGGAGCAAAGGGGGACGGGCGAAGGAGGGCAAAAGCGGAAGGGAAAATGGGGGCGGGCATAGGGGGGCGGACAAAGGGGGACGGGCAATTGGGGAGGGACGGGCAAAAGAGGAAGGGGAAAGGGGGAAAAGAAAAATGGGGACAGCAACGGAGGAAGGGCAAAGGAGGACGGGCAAAGGAGGGAAGAGGGAAGGGCAAAATGAGAAAGGAAAGGGGGAGCAGAAAGAGGGACGAGATACAACTCACTTCTTGGTCATCCAATTACACTCCCCTCCCCCACCTTATCATATGTTCCCCATCTCCTCTCATCCCACCACATCCCATCCCACTGCACTCCACCAACCACCCTCTTCTCTCCGTTGCCCCTCTCTCAGCTCAGCCTCCTCTCACACGTCGCCCTTCTTTATCTCATCCCGCCACACCCCACCGCACCCCACCGCACCCCACCGCCTATTCCGCTACACCAAGCCAGCAAGCTCGCAGGCGTTACAGGCGACCCCAGTTGACCGCTCCACACCGCATTCGCATCTCACCTGGGTGCGTTGGAGCCAGGTGAGCCAGTCGATGTCGTGCTGCCTGCTCGCCCTCTCCCCCTCCCTGCACGCATTCGCCTCAAACGCCACCCCCGCGCTCCATCTTTTGAGGCGCCTCAACAGTCGATCTCGTGCTGCTCGCTTGCCCTCTCCCCCTCCCTGCGCGCATTCGCCTCAATCACCACGCCCGCCCTGCATCGCCTCATTTGCCCTCTGAAGGGAATAATGAGGGAAGGGGGAAGGAAAGCGGGGAGAGGCTCATTCGCCTCAAACACCAGTATCTTCACGGAAAGGCCTGAATCCTCGAAAATACCATTGATGAGGCGTCTGAAGAATCCAATCCGCTCATACCGCGTCATGTAGCGTAAAACTGCGCGCATTATCTTCTTGAATCCAGGAACGGCAAGCAGCAGCTCCAGGACTTGTATTGCAAAAATCACGCTATCGTCTGCTGCAGACACGAAGATTGATGATTCCTTAGCGTGACTTCCGCGTGCTATCGCTTTCCAAAAATTCTAACCGCACACGACGACGCACAGACAAACAGCTGAAGCAACCAAAACCATTTCCGAAACGCCTCGCAATCACGCTAGCTGCAGATGGAATCTGAGCCAGGATCTACTGTTGACGTAAGGAAAGGTAAGAGATACATGTATCGAAGCACGCACCCGCGCATTCCACCTCTGTGCCAACGCGACCGCGCGTCGACCAACGTGGATCGAATAGAGCAGAGGAGCGTCTGCCTTCGCCAACAGCGACTACTAATCATTCGTTCAGGGATTGATAAGAACTACCTAGCTCGAATCCCAGTGACGAGCAACAGAAGACCTTTGCTGGTCGGACGGATAATAGGAAGCTGTATCTATGGCGTCAACGCGATCCGAGAAGAGATTGTCGTGAGATGAGTGTGAAGAAGAATGAGTTGTTTCATGGTTGAGTGGTTTACTTCGGTGCGCAATGGTTGAGCTGTCCCTGATCAGCTCACTCATAGCGGTTAAATCCCGGCACCGTTCCTGACCGCGAGGGAACATTTCAAACAAGCGGAGTGTGAGCTGGGTTCTTTGCTGTGTTACTAGAAAGTCCGCTATGTGTAATGTTCAAAAAGTGCTTTCTTCTTTCATTCCAAATTCTCAACCTGATAGTAACGGGTACAATGGAGGCCACGAGGTGCAGCATCCGAGATCCGCGACCGTGATAGACCGTGACTGTCCGAACATGTGACACGCCCTTACGTCGGAGCGCGTACGCGTCAAGTCGTTTTGCCGTTGCTGCGACACGGTAGGAGGCTTGAATCCACGGCGAGCCGTTATACATAAGCGT